CCCCCCCCCCCCCCCCCCCCAACCCTTCATCGAGTCTGTGGATTTAGTAGAATCTTTAAACATCCTTGGGTAACCAGGCGTTAACTTTCCTCTCCCCACTGCTTTTTGAAATGTTAGCAACTTAAATATATGTTTTCTGGTGCTCTAAAAATCAGTGTCCTTTTGGCACACCCTCTTCTTTTGAATAAATACAATGTGGTTTCTATAAACTTCTATAGAAGTGGACTAATCTTGTGTTTTCTCTTTTCTCGTCATTTGTCTTTATCTATCTTGAAGTCATTCCTACCAAGTGCCTGACATTGATTGCAAAGCGTGTAGTTTATCTTGGAAAAAATGTATTGTCTTTATGCTATATAATGGTGCTGCAGCATTCCAAGGAGCAACATTGCTTCTTTCAACTTCACCTCCTGCTGCTAGACATGTTGTTAGTGCTGCTTTTGACCAGCAACAACACAGTAAACAGCTGGTGAGGACGTCTACTGTAATTTGTGCTTGTTATCTCAAACATCTACAAGTTTATGCCCCTATAAATTACTTTTTGTAAACTTATATCCTAAAACCACGAGTTTTTTTCTCCCCGAAAAAGAGAAAAAATAAAGATAACCCTGGAAACATCATCTGCATAAATACAACAGTGTGGTATTTCATAACTGAGATAGGTTATTAAATGGAAAACACAGGCTGCGTTGCATGCTCTGGGCAACATTGCTGGTGAAACACGTACAGAAAATATGGTGTTGAACAGTAATGCAGAAGAAAACCTTAAACGCATGATCTATGAGAAAGCATCTAACACGTCAAAGTTGACCCCATCAGTAAGTCAATTAATTTCAAGCTCATTCTGCTGTTACATTGATGTGCTTTGTTTCTCTTCACTAATTGCCAGTTAAGACACATTTTGCTCATGTCTCTTTAGTGTGATTCTCATAATCAATATCTTGAACTCAATAAGAAAATTCAAAGAGCAGGGCCGAATGGATTGAATAGAGATATAGCTTACCCTATAATATTATAGATTTCTGCTGTCTGAATCCGTAATACTAGTTTTAATTCGTGATTTATTTGATTATTTCTATGATTGCAACTGTTACTCATTGCATTATTGATACATGTTGCAGGGCCTTCTCCTATCAGTTCTACAACAGGATTCAGAAATTCGTCTAGCGGTGAAAATACAGAACTTTTCTTTTCATAACCTTTGATATCTTGATTGCTTGCAATCTTTAATATCATACGTAGTTATCTTGGCCATCAAATCAAACTAAGAGATGCAGAGTCAGTGGTGGATATTTCATCATGTGCAATTGTGCATAGTTTCTCCTTTAATGGAAACAAATCATGAATCGCTGCCACCTTCCTGTAATTGTACATAAGTTGGCTAAAACAGAAACTTTAGGGAAAAGTTAACCCTTGGGTGAATAAAAGAACACAATAAGAAGAGTCTCTTTTGCTCTATGCATGCTAAAGCAACCCTACCTTGTCAAAAGCTGTATGAAGGTTTCGATATGCTGCACCTTGAATTAACAATTCCCTTTAATCATGGTGAGTTGTCACGTCTCTTCTTTTGATTACAGGGATATAGATTGATTACTGGAATGGTGGCTCGACCTTGGTGTCTGATGGAGATAATTTCAAGACAGGAAATAATTGATATAGTGACTGACACCTTTACTGAAACGAAAAAGATAGGTCGGTATCGTTTTCACTTTCTTGACATCAAAAGCTGACAGTTTTTGCTTTTTTTTTTTCCTGCTGTCATCACATCATCATTTTTCTATTATACTTTCAGTTTATTTCTCTGTTTCTGAATAGCTTGCAGAATTATAGAACATGGAATTGGTCTTGGCAACAGATATTGCCCATCCATGAAGTTCTTGTTATAGTAGGGGCATATTTGTGTGTAAAGAGAACTCTTGTCAAATAATCAAACTTTTTTCCAAGTTTTGTATGTGGTATAAAAGATGTTATAACTCCTGGTTGCATGCTTAATAAGTCATGGTTCAAAGTGACAAATGTTGCTGCAATCATGAGGTCTCAGTTTAAAGTCCCAACACTAATGAGTTCCTATTTATTCTCATTAGATATCTGTCTCTCGAGTGCTTATATGTTGAGGAAATATTACGATTTTATTTTTTGCCAGATCTTAATAATTAGGGACAAATTTTCAGGCATGGAAACTAGACATAAATGTTGTGAAGCAATTTACAAGGCTCTCACATCATCAACTAAGCTAATCAGTGACCCTGACTTCGCTGGGATTGCTGCAAAGGTGTGGTTTAATTTTTAGGGAATGCTACAGTTTTTCTTTTTTCTTGTTATTATTTGGTACAGCTGTTTGTATGCATAAAAGTTGACCTTGTATTGTGTGCACAAAAGTCGACTCGACTGAGCCTGTGGCATTCCATCTGTATTTGGCAGACATTTTAGATTGGAGTGCCCACATAATTTTGTTTTAGCAGTATTTTTTGAAGTAGAAATCCGTAGAATTTGAGATCATGATATAGGCTGAAGTGAGTAGTTCAAAGTTTCCTCCGATGTCTATCTTTGAAGCCAGAATGAAATTCTTCTATTTTGTTGAGATTTGACGTCACATATTGAGTATGGAAAGAAATTTCATAGAACTGCTCATCAATGAGCATTGGTTTTATATGAGTTTGGATTTTGGAGATGAAGAAAATACGTTCCAAATTCCAATATTATGTGCGGCAAGAGGATTTTGATAAGATTTTATGAAGTTGAACTGTTAGAGAACAAAGGCATTAAGATGAAAATAGGGGAAAACGCACCATTCATCAACTTATGGCCTTCGTTGTAATTTCTTCCCAAACTTTATTTTTTTGGCAGCATAAGGTTGCAGTCTTGTAATTCCCAGGAGACTTGTTCCATCATTTGATCCTTTACTGAAAAGACAATTATGTCATCACTTTAAAGCCCCCATTTAATACAGACTTTTTAAAACTCATTTTCAATCACACATTCTCCTAATAAAATAATTTTGCACGTGGATCCGTAACTTTTCCATACTTTTTAACCACACATTCTCCAAAATATTATTTTTCACAAAATCTATTCCAGAAAAATCTGCATCAAACATGCCCTAAGTTGAAATATATGAAATAAAAGGAAAAAGGAGAAGAAAAGAAGAAAGAAAAAATAGGAAATAGAGGTACATCATTGTTAATGGAGATTCATTTGAACTCCCAACAGTAGATAAGATTCAATGTATCAGGCAATTGAATTTGTAACTACACGTGTTCAAGTACTTATAATCTTCTCATTCCCTTTTCTTTTGCTACAGACTTAATACATATTTTTGGGTATTTGAAAATTTCTGCAGCTTCATGAAGCAATCAAAAGGGGTCCTTTCCTTGCAAGGAAGCACACTGAAGCTCAACCTGTGGTAATGACAGCTGAGAGATTTTGATTTGACTTCAATAGGGGCAGTCGCTCTTGTTTTAGACTTGCCTTCGGAGTTTATAAGTGTATAAATTATCGATAAATATCTCGAGTACTGATCCGACCTACATGCTACCTTAACTTCTTTACTCAAGGCAACTAATAGCGTCGTGTCTGTAATATCTCGTGTGAGTGGATCTTTTCCTCCCATGAATAGGATGAAATCTTTTGACTAAATGGTGGTTCTTGTGAAATACTTTTTGAGTGTTGCCTTTGGAAGGTAATATTAACTTCAATTTAGGATGTCTTGATGTGGGGTTTATTGAACTTTAAGACTAGTCCATCATAGGATATTCTGTGAAATTTGTTTTCGATTCGAGCTGTTTTGCCATGGTTGCTGAGCTTTTCGGTTCTGCATAATAGCTGCTTTTGACAATATTTAGTTCAAACAATAAGCAAAACAAAGTTTAGGAATCTATGATCTTTAAATGCCCTTTTTTCCTCTGGATTTATTATTCTCTCAATAAATAGTCTTATAAGAAGAATGTTGTTCATCCGTAATGGTGTTCATTACCAATCTATGTGCCAAAAGACTTCTCGATTCATCGCCAGTCTAGTGGATTCACTGTCATCTAATCTAGACTAGATTAGTGATGTACACCATTGACTTTACTCCAATTAGTTCTTGACCAGGGAAGTGTAGATACCTACATTTGAAGATATGACTGAAGACAACCCTTGGGATGATATTTTTGATTAGTTTGTGAATTTTATGTGCATATACATTTTCTTTGTTTTCGAATCCAAAATTGTAAATTAAAACTTATGAGACCGAACCTTAACAATATACATTTTTTCCTGTGTTGTCAGGTTATTTTTTTTTTCCTTCCTATAAATGAGACAATTTTAAATTATGAAATGTTGAGTAACAAAATCAAAATTATAGTACTTTTTAAGAAAAGTTTATATAAAATTATTTTCTATGAAATTACCTCTCGAAAGGTGACATGCTTTCAAGAAGCGTCTATATCTTTGAAAAAACGTGTTACTCTTTTTCACTTGTCTTCGTCCGAGGCAAGCTTGAAGCCTAGATGATTTATTTAATTGTCAATTTTCATCTTAAATTTCTCTCTGCCTCCATTTCCCTCCCATGTCACTTGCGAACACCCAACACCACCTTCGAGCCTGTCTGGCAGCCCTTTTTCCCTAGATTTTCAACCATTTTTTGCCCGTTACCAGCCGCAATTTTATACTTCTCTCTCACACTTCACTTTGGCAACGGCCTGAAAATTGCTCTTAATTTTGGCAAAAATTGCTGCCAGACATGAATCTAGCGTAATTAGTGTCTACTCGTTCAAAAAAATTATCTTATAGAATAGAAGTGTCTGTACATTCAATTTAGACATGCCACGTAGGATTTTATTGTGTATATTTAATTAATAAAATATGTACACTTAATTAATAATAATAAAAGATGTGACAAGAAATAAAAAGTTTCAAGAAACCGCCAAGTCGTTTTCTTTCCCATTTAGTGCTATTTATGTAAATTTCCAAAGAGGCAAAGGAAATCCTTGTTATGGGCCTGCTAGACTCTCTGGTCGGAAGCCCAATTAATAATCTATCAACGTTATCACGTTAAAATGATTCTTGGGATTAGCATATTCTTGCCCGTTAATGGCGGTGGCCTGAAATACTTACTTATCCAAATTTCCATTCCATACCCACGACAAAAATAAAAAAAGTTTGTCTGAATCTGCTTAATTGATTTCAATTTGGGGAATTTTGGGTTCGTGATTTCGGCTCAAGCAAATCCATCTGCGTGTCTGTGTGAAAGAGAGATATGGGAAGGGTATTTGTGGTGGATCTTGAAGGCAGGACGTACAAATGCAAATTCTGTAAAACCCCTTTAGCTCTTGCCGATGAACTTGTCTCCAGGGTACTTTATTTTGTTAATTCCTGGGGAACTTTTACCTCGTGCAATTTTTGTATTTTTGGATTGGAACTTAATTTTCTTTATATGGGATCGTTTGAATTGTTACACAATGTTGAATCCTTTTTATGTACGTGTAGATAATTGGATAATTTATATTGATATTTGGATTTTGTCTTAATTGTATAGGATTTTCTTTCCTTTTTCTTGGTTTTAGACTATCCTTTTGGAATATTGATTTTGTGATTTGTCGTTTATTCAGGAATTTCACTGCCGCGGGGGAAAGGCATACCTCTTTAACAATGCGTAAGCTCCTCGCTGCTGGTCTGAAATTCATTTTGACAGTCGAAATGAACTTTATTGTGAGAGAATTTATTCATGGAGTAAATATAGATTACTCGATTGATTTTCTGAGTTACAGCTAGAACAGTAGCAGGGAATTCAATAGCAGTACCTTCTGTGCTCGTGGCTAATTCTACTATTGATAGGGACTTAGGCTTCATTCCTATCCAAAGAGCTCATGTGCAGCAGATTAATGACTTTTGATAGCTGTAATTTTGGAGGGGAGTAACATGATGTTTTCAGTAGAGGAGAATGTGCTATCTCTGCAAAGATTACTTTCAGCCAAGGCATTAGGCCTAGTAGTAGAAGAGCTATCGCTTGTCGACTATTGACAAAGTTCAAGTTCCATATGTCTTACTGTGAACCACCTCTATCTTCTGTGTGTTGCTAGTTTAGTTTTTCTAGGAATGTTGATGTATATGCAATGTCAGGTTGTTGTCTTCCACAATAATTTTTCTGCTGGAAAACACTTGGATTTGTATTTGAACGACCAAACTTTAGTGACCATGTTGGAATAACACAAAAACTTTGCTATGAGTTGAGGGACTGATAGTGTCTGCTGGTTTGTGCTCAGAGCAAACATCACAGTAGGAACTCTAGAGGAGAGGTCAATGCTTTCTGGAATGCATACTGTAGCCGATATATTTTGCTGCTGTTGTGGGCAAATAGTTGGCTGGAAATATGTAATCTCTCACACCAACTGTTTTCATTTTCATTTAGACTTCTTTCAGTTGCCTATGAGTTCAATTTATCTATATATTCCATTTTATGCTTCCAGGAGGCGGCGCACGAGATGCGCCAGAAATATAAAGAAGGAAAATTTGTTCTTGAAAGGTAATGTTTTCACTCTTTTCTTTACTTATCCCATAAGCTTTTTTCTTCTTAAAATTTCAACATTTATATTCCTACTGACAACAATGCTAACATGTAAAATTCTGCTGGAACAGAGGAAGGATCGTTGATGGATTCGAGTCTGAATTCTATATCGATACTCATCCAAATATGAGTGATGCGGAAGATGCATAGAATTTATCGTCCTTCTAGATGATAATAAATGTTTCTTGATGCTGCAGAGAGATGGCATGTGCATGTAGATTAAAACTATGAAACTGCTGCTGAACAGTTTTTTGTGCTTGTATCTGATGGATAGGAGGTTAGCATTATAGTACTTCATATTTAGAATTAATTAGATCGTGTTCTATGGATCAATTGCTTATTATCTTTCTCTGGTATAAGGAATAATGCAGAAATTATCAGTCAATCCAGGTCTTCTGTTAGGGTTCAAATCCAAATGCCAAGAGTGGTCGACTACCCAAGTAGATGGTTGATGGAGTTAAGATTGATATATGTTGGCCGCCGGAAAAATACCTTTTGCAGTTGTCTCTGCAGATGGTCTTAGAGACCACTTATACTTGGGACATATAAATGTCATAAGAGGACAAGTGTTATAATACAGAGATAGAAAAGTAAATATCATAGGACATGGCATCAAATCCACTATACTAAAACAAAGCTAATAATGGACATGCAGTTGCAATTACAAGGAGCTCAATCATGTCTGGATAGCAGGAAATTCCATGGTTCAAAAGGATATCCCAAATGGGGTGGGGGAGTAAATTGCAATTTGATGACAGAAGAGAGTAAGCATATCCTAGAGAGACATCCAGGCGATCATGTAACTTTTCTTCTCTGAGAAAGCCATTAAGCTACCTGACCTGGTTTTCCTTGAATCCTCTATGGTTTGAGCCCTCTTTACGAGTCTTGAAGAGCTCGTCCTACGCCGCTGGTTGTGGCCCGCTAGACGCGTGCGGCAACTCCTCTTTGTCTGATCGAATTCTGAGACCTCATGAAATCTTAATAGCAAAGACAAGTACAATTCAGTGGATAGGTTAAAGAAACAAATATGTTATGGTAGAGAACAATCCTCACTTGAACCTTGAAGATATATCTTATATTACAGCAAAGATCTGGTGAAAGATAAGTGTAAGCACTTGTGGTTAAAATGGGCTCTTCTATACTTTGATTAGTGTCTTCATCAAGAGAGTTGAGCTCAGGTACACGGAATGAAGACCTTTGAGAATAATTATTGGACCAGGAGGAAATGATTCTCCTATATTGCTCGACTGGACTCTTCTTGGCTCCGTTTTTTCAGTTTATTGAGTTAAGAGTATAATCATGCTGTAAGAACAAGTAGAGAGAGGATAGAGAAATTTTCTACCAGAATATAAACTTGTGTTAATTCATCATTTGACAGATGATGAATAGAACGATACTGTGCACTCTCACAAGAGTGTTAAATGCTAGTACAATACCAGAAGTTTCCATTTTGTATTAGGACTCATAGTGAGCATTTTGCATGAACTTAAAATCAACTTAAAGTAAATTTTTGTTTTCAAACATGATTAGATAGTTTAATTTTTCTACTGATGGAAGAAAGTTACTTATTTTGACAAGTCACCCGTTCCTCTCAAAATAAGTAACTTATTTCAAACTTTGATTAATAGAAATTACTTATATTTTAGAAGTTATATTTTTAAGCAATCTCTGTTAGCTTTTAGCCAAACCTGCTGCATTGCTGACAGAATCTCTGCTTGACCCCTGAAACTATGACCTCGGGAGCCTTGGAGTGCACCTCACAAACTTTGTGCCTTTGATAATACTTCTTGCAACCTCTCAGATCAACCTCACACTTGTCCACCACACAACACGGCTGAGCCATCCCTCCACCACCACCGGCCCGAGCACTCATTCCAGAACCACCACCACCAAGATCCAATCTTTTCTTCTTCAAAATACTCTCCTCATTCTCCACCATTTCATCCTCTTCTGCCATTTCTTCTTCTTCCTCGAATCCATTATCTTCATCTTCCAACGTTTTCTTGATTTTCATGGTTGAATTGATGACTGCAAAGAGATGGCAAGTTGTAAACTTGTAATAATGAAGCTCAAGGCATGCGGAGAAAAAAGGTAGGAAGAAAAGCGAGAAAAAGTACATTTTGAGACAAAAAGAGTAACAAGGTTTGTGAGGACCACAAGGGCCATAACCTCCCCCACCAAACTCTTATTATCTACGTGTACGTACAGTGCATAAATACATACAAATTCAAAACACTTGACAGGTAATGAAATAATGATAATTTTACCCCGATTAAAGTTGGTATACATTCAATTATTGGAGTATATAGGTTACAAGGTGGTCCTAGTCATACAGCTGATGTCACACACATACAGACATGTATATATTTCATTCTTTAGCTTGCTCATCTAAGTGAATACGACATTGAAGCGAGTCGCCAAAAGCGAACTTCCGGGTTGAAAGGAGCCAGATGAGTGCGATATATTGAAAAGTAGCACAAGAAGAAACAAAGTTGATTTTGAGGAAGATGGCTAGTTTCTGATTTTTAAATAATTAAATGGACTTGACTAGTAAGTATAGATTAAAAATAAAATGAATGTTTTCAAGATTGATTTCACCTCTCGATCTGGTTGAGACTTGGCACATTAATAGAACTGCAATTCTCTCTTGTACATATATGTTACACGTACACTTAGATGCGTACACGTTAAAGGTGCGAACCTGGACTTTTCGAAACAAAGGTGCGTGTAATATTATTGTTAGTGCTCGTTAAGATTCTTTAAAAGGTTGTTTATGACATAAATTTAAAAGATGGAAATATTGGGACAAAATATTTATTTTGATGATAAATTAATACTTGTTACTCAGCACATTTTGTCCTTTTGGTTACTCAGACTATGAGAAAAAAAAGGGACCCTAAATTGCAGCAAGGCGCCTTACCCTACGCCAATTGCGTTACTTCACACACAACACACACATATAGCCCCATAAATCACCATCCAAACATACAATCTCCCCCCAATCAAGAACCCAAAAAAGAATTTAAAAGATTTGTTCGATCAATGACTTGTTCTCTTAGGCTAGTTTTCGCCCTATTTGTCGGTGTGGCTGTGGCCGTGATGGCGCAGTCGTCGATGGACAATGACATGATGCGCGGCGCCTTCTATGTGCGCGGTCATGTAGGTGGCTCGTTTTTAGGAGTATTGGATATGAATCAAATATTGCAGATGGAAGCTGAATCGGGTCGAAGAAACTTGAATCAGCAAAGGAAGTACATTAGTTATAGCGCAATAGACATGAACAATGTTCCATGCGGTCGACGTGGACATTCTTACTACGATTGTAATGCTCATCTGGCTGCACCAAAGCGACGAGGTGCGCTAGGACTTATTAGAGATAAATTTGATTAATCTTATCCCATATTCTAGCGTAATCGCTGAGATACGTAGAGATACATTGTAGCTAATTAGATGTGATGTAGCATATTTGTTTGTGAATTGTGTAATTATTAGCAATTTTTCTTTTTTCAGTTTTCTTTCTATCTACGATGGTACCAAATTATGAATATAAATTAAAATTGGATTGCATTTATTTTTAATTGCTGGGTTTTCTAGCTATATGGTTTTAATAGCGAAATTCATAATGTGGGTTTTGGCCATTCTCTCATGATCATAGAAGCGTCTCGACACACAGTGGGAATGGGGGCTGAGTTCTAGCATAGGAGGCTGTGACCAATGGGCTCCTTCCACGTGTACAATTGCCTTCTAACTCAAATTATTATTGTATAATTGTTTGTAGAGTAATGCTATTCAACATCATTGATGTCAAGCATCAGTCTAGATGACACATGTACGACATTAGATGATAGATTCACTTAAATGTAATGTCGCACTATTCATTTAAAATGAACCCATTAAGCGTGACTACCTATATTGGTATTATTTTTGTTTATATTAGTGACTTCTTACCTCTTAAATTAGAATGAGAGGTTATTAATCCTCAATTTATATTATAAGATTTTTCCAATATTATGTAGGCGGCATACCAACTTCAACTTAGCAAGTGGGCCCTCGTAGATTTTGTGTGGTCTTAATATTTTTTTCCATAAACTATAGAATAACTTAATACAAGTGCCATTACATGTATAAATCTGAAATGATCTCCCTTCATTTGCAATCTTATGATCATGAGAGAATGGCCAAAACCCTATTCAAGCTCTCTCTCACCCTCTTTCTATTTACCCTACATTTCAAGCATCAACACCGTTCGAAGTCGAGGACAACAGTGATGAAGAATACATAGTCAATGCACCATTTTCTTGCATGCGATTGTAGCTGGTAGAAAATGGCAATTGTAGCTGGTTGTTGGTGACCATCATCAAGAAAGGCACACTTTGTAGCGCGATGAATGGTAGCGTGTGCAATGGGATAAGGGCAAATTATGGAAGAAGCCTTCTTTATTGCTTCAAGAAGCATTACTGGAATGTTCTCAGGGCATCCAGAACAACTGTGGGCGGTGTGGACGCAAGTGTAAGCTAAGAGAGCGTTGCTGCCGGGTTACTTGCACTGATATCTTGCACAATGCAGCAAATTGTGGCAAGTGTGGGAAGAAGTGCTCTATGGGGGTTAAATGCGAGTATGGGTATTGTAGATATCCTCAAGTGAAGATAAAATCATATTCGTTGTATAGTAGTACAAAACATCCATCATGGGTTTCGGGTCTATCCCTTTTTATATATAGGCCATGCCACTCATTATCATCAAAATGAGAAGCTTCCCTTTTCATTCTATCTAGTTTACAATCCTAGCTAAGGTAGCTGTAACCCAAAACCACAAGTACAAGAACAACCAAAGCAGCAGGAGCAGCCCATACCCAATATTTTGTTGTCATCTTGTGTTTCAACGCAACTTTATGAAGTGAATCTGAGCCTCTTCGCCGTGGTCTGTGTCTGACGGGGTGTTCTTTCCAATCCTTGTTTTTGGTTGAAACGAGAGTTTCGACTGCTTCGTCTTCCTTATTGGGTTCAAAAGCCTCTCTGACTGCTTCAGCTGGTTCCTCGGAGACCTGAGCAGCAACAGAAGCTCCAGCCTTCTTCTTTGCTCTCTTCTCTCGCTCCTGAAATGAATTAGAAGCTAAACAACTTTAGAGCTAATAAGAAAATGATAATAGGAAAAAGATTAAAAAAAGAGTTAATCAACAAAGTAATTTCCTTAAGCTTCTTTTCAGCCTCCTTCCGAGCTTTTATTTCCGCTTTAGCAGCGGCTTTCTCTGCCAACTTCTTCTTTCTCTCCATTGCTAACTTAGCCTTCCCCATCTCTTCGTCTCTCTTCATCTCCTTCAACTTCGCTTCATCAACTTCATTCCTCTTAGGGATAGAATCCTTTTGCAATTTTTCTATCCTCGAGACTTCTCTATCTTCCATGTCCATTTTCTCCATGACGGTTTCTGTTTTCTTATTTGCTTCTTTCTCGTTTTTAGCATTCTTTTCCTTCTGAATTTTCTTTGTGGAAGAAGCATCACTTTGTGCCGGGACAATGAGATCCTCCTTTTGGGGTTGTTTCACACTTGGTTTTAGGACAACCTCAGTTTCAAATGGAGTTGGTACCTGAACCAACAACAGTGGCTTCTCGTCTGGATTCCTCATACGGCCATCCCGACTCAGCTGCCTCATGTCAAGTGACTGCAAAACTCTCCTCTCGTAGTCATCCCGGAAATCTTTATTACTACTCCAGAGCGACATGAATTTCTCGACCTAGAACAGGGAGGAGGTAAGATACCATCAGACACCTAAGTCAAATTATTATAGTGATTGGAAAGTCAGTAACGGAGAACTATCCACTAAACCTCTGTAACAGAAAGCTCCTTCATGGATTCAATATCCTTCTTTGCTGCTAGTTCTTTGGCTTTGACCAAGAGCATGCGGTTTTGGTAAAAAGGGGAATTCTGCAAGTAAAGAGGATTGATTTTGTAAAGACCTTTAACTGAATTACCATAATTAAAAATGAGCAGCATACCCCGTGTTCACGTTGTTTCCTCAGTTCCTGAATGTTTTCAAAAGTTTTGTCTCTATTCTGCGCAATTACTGTCAACTCCTCTTGCAAAGCATTGATCTCTTTCTCTATAGCCTCTTTTTCTTCATCCAGCTGCTTAAGCTTTGCCTTGACCACTTCCTGTTCCTTTCGAACCCCATCAAGATCAACACCTATAAGCTATAATCACTTAATTATGAGCACGAGTACTGTTAAAATATGCTAAAATAGCTAGCAGTGCTAATGAAACCAAATTTAGACATTTTACATAAAGGGTGACATACTTTGACATGATCCTGAATGGCTCCTTTTTCACCGAGGGAGTCTTGAATCCTCGCCCTCTCGGCAGCATTTGCAATAACTTTTTCCCTTGTCCCTTCAAGTTGTTTAATTTCCCTAATAATTTGTTTCTCTTCACTAAGAGGAATGCTTTCGTGCTGAATGCGATATTGCAAACTCTTGATCTAATCAATTTCAACGACGAAAGGAAAGTATTAGCTAGCAATGTCATAAAGTGATAAGCACTTTGAAAATTAAAAAAGAATGTATGCGTGTGTATTAGTACTTACAAGATTATTGAGCTCCTCTTCGGAGGAACAAACAGTCAAACCCCTCTCTCTGCCTCTGCTAATAGCACCTCGCAACTTGCCCAAAGCCTGCTGCAGAGGTTCCATTTCTTTTCTCTTCTCGTCCATGATTGTCCTGAACTGTCTTTTCTCGACACTTAGAGACCTTATTTGAGCAATCACCTGGGCCCGATCTGCCTGCAAAACACACTCCATGTCACTTGGTAATCACTCTCTACAATGGAGCCATGTTTCATAATCTGCATTCTCAGAAAACTTCTACACTTGACTTGTTAACTAACCATCTTAAGTCAACCTAAATTATTATTTGGTTCTTCTTCTTAGCAACCCCCGTGTTTACACTATTCTTAATCTTAATTCGAGACACAATGCATCAGAGATTGATTTATGAAATAAGTGTTTATAAACACTCAAGTCACTTATTATCCACACATTTCAAGTACTATCCACTTATCCACCACTTATTTCTATATATCTATAATTTAAACTCTTTATAAACACTTTCCAAATATGCTTATATTTGTTTTGCAGAAACTCTTGTGCAAAGCTGTGTGCATGACTAGAACTTACAATTATAAACTTTAATCACAAGTAATTGCTACTACAAAAGAAGAGCTTCGCTCTTGACAAGAACAGAAAGTGCCACATAACTTACCCTTTTCGCCCTTAATTTATCGGTAATCTGAGAGCGGGCCAGATTCTTTTTCTTTAGCTCCTTGTCAGCCAGATCCAATTTGGCCTTCAGATTTGGGTCGTCGCATAACCGATACTTAATAATGTAGAAAGAGTGGATCTGCTTGGGTGCAGGCCACTCGTCCAGTGCATCCCTGGGAAGGCTAGCCTCATAAGCTTTATTAACTTCCCCTTCAGATGGCTCGTCTAGCGACTGAGAACCAAATTTTATGTTCAGATTTTCCTTCGCCACAGAGAGGTTATCAGTTTCCACTGTAATGGCCACTTTAGATTCCACAGCCTCTATGCCCATGATTATCAATAAATTCTAGCCCAACAAGTGCCTCAAAGAATCACGAATCCTGAAGTTGGAATCGGTAATTACATCATGGAATTATTACAAAATAATATCCCTTGTCGTAAGGAAAGAATCTAGCAGCAAGAAAAATCATTATGTGGCAATATAATGAAAAAAAAAACAAGAAATTCATATTAAATACATTTGAAATTTCAAAACTACCTACCAGTTTTCTCGGAAATTAGCCTATTCATTAAACAATCTGTCAGACCAGCAAGTCTTGCTAAGCTTACAAAAAATAATTACTTATGAGTAATTTCTTAATCATCGAAACTGGAAATAAGTTAATTAGCTTGACATCAATGAAACAACTTTACAAAAGTAAGTACTTATCCAAACCTTTTGGTGAAAGCTTAACCAAGAAAATGGACATGCAAATATATAGAACAGAACCCACCAACATAAAGTCAAGCCATAATAGTTTTGTTGACGGAAACAACAAGAACCAAGGATTCAGGAGAAGGGTAAAACTGAAAAAGGTAAAAAGTAAAAAGAAAGAGTAAAAAGAAAGGTGCAGAAAATTTGAGGGGGTGTGTAAAAAAAGAAGCAAAAACAGCGTATACTTACCGGCAATGGACAGTAAAACTTCGGCAGAGATTTTTAGGAGCAGACGAGTCCCCCTTTTTGACAGAACCATATATATATATAGGAGGGGGTGGGGAGGAGGTGGGTTACCATTGATGTCCGCTGTATCATGGTGAGTTTGACAGTGGAAGAGTGGACCACCATAATCTCCTGCATTTACCAATTATTTATCTATTTTCTTTCTTGGCAAATGGAAATTAATTAGGATTAGATTATAATCCTACGCTTATTCATGAAACACGACAGTTGGTTGGAACTTTAATACAAGCCGTCTATGTTGGCCTCGTGGTTTGAATATTAATTTATTAATGCGACGTCGTACGAAATGTTTGTTGGGTTTGTTGAGTGTGGCGGTGGCCATTGGGAACACGTGATTGGATTGAAATTGCGGACTTATCTTCAACTGGGCACGTAAGCTATGAAAACACGTGCATTGTATAATCACATAAATGCCCTCGTTTTTGTTCTAAATTCTTACTCTGGTACCTTTGATAGAAATTTGCATTAAATAATTCGAGTGAGAGATCTCTAAATGCGATTTTTTTTTTTGGGTTTTTAAATAATTAAAAAAACTTATTTTAACAAATTTAAGTTTTACATGAGAATCGCATTGTTAAATATAGCAATAACAATAAAAATTAAATTTAATCGACAAGAACTAATAAAATAATTTAAGATTAAAAATAGAGTTTTTGTTGACTTCGAACACGACAAGAACATATTGTCAATAAATTTTGGCTCCACTTTTGCCCACGTGCAAGTTTTCTGCACGCTTAAACAAAGTGTTAGATGCATATGATTGTATCTCCGATAATGGAGAGGCAATCATGAGCACTTTTCAATCAAGAACGAAAGATATTATGGTTGTGAGATAGACGGTAGAAGTTAATAAGTTGGATTTCGATTGAAGAGAAAATACCAAGCTATACTTTAGATGTGTAGTGTAACGCCCAAATCTAGTACCTTTTAAATAAACAAATAATAATAATAAAGATTTTAAGTGTTACCAAAATATTTATTATCTAATTTATGCTGGAATTTACTACTATTGTACAAATTGATAGATCGATAATGTAAATTCCGAAATTTTCATATATAATTAAATCTTTAAAATATTGCGATTTCGATGTTCAAATGTAACATTTCAAAAAGGCTCAAACACCAAAACTACTAAAATAATGTGCACTTAATTAAACATAAAAAAAGACCTTCTGAGAATAAAATTCACCATACAACCTTTTTAAAAATTTTACTTTGCAACCATGAACACCGTTCAATCTTCCACACTTCAAGCATGACCTGCTCTAATATGAAATTGTTGTAAGAGTGAGTATTTTGAAAATACACAGTAAAAATACGTGCAAATTCTTATTTTACGTGATATAAATATAAAATGACATAATATATCGACATTCTTAAATTTAGAGCAAACTGGTCGCGATATCAGATACTTCAAGAAATTTCTTTAAAATTCTAATATCACGAAGGATTTACACATTTGACCTAATGATCCATCCGATAGATTTACATAAAATCGACCCGAAGGCTTTAGAGTATTTTGTGTCAAAATCATATATACACCTAGAAAATAAGAATTTATCACTTTACAATTGTATTCTTACCTTGAGTTGATATCAAAGAAATCTGAAAATGTGATTGTAAAATAATAGTGAAGGAAATTATTTTCAATAGTATGCGTGTGTACAAATTTATGTAGGAAATGAAGTTAGGGATGGCAAAAAAACTTGTCGGCTCAAACTCGCGCCCTAAAAAAGCCCGAACTGGCCGGATGAATCGAGTCTAGGTTCGGGCCGAGCCCCATTTTGGGGGGTCGGCCCGTAATTAATAAAAAGAAGTTTTAAAAAAAATTAAAAGTTCCCTACAAGCAACTAAGGAAGAAAAAAATAAAAAATTGAGCCAGTTCGACTCGGCCCGCTAAGGTTTGGGCCAAAGCTCGGTCTGAGCCCTTTTTTTTTGGCCGAGCCGAGCTTTTTTTTTCTTTTCGGTTCGGTTCGTTGACATAGCTAAGTGAAGTTTATCTGTTAAAAAAAGAAAAAGAAAAAAAACATCTAATATATAATTCTGACACAAATACATGCAACTCGCGTCAACGAAATGACATTTCATGCTTAAACCCCCGTTTGACCCACATTATTTTTCTCATTCTCATTCTTCTACTTATTTTCAACCACATATTTTCAATGAAATAATATTTTTATCACATTAATAACTTTTCCTCCTTTTTAACTACATATCTTTCATCACATCAACAGTAAAAATGCATCTAGAACTAAGAATATGTCTATTTTTTTTATTCCGATTCTAGTATCTAGAACCAAGAATCGAATATTATTTCAAACACAAATATTTTTTTTTTTATCTATTTATATGTATTTGTTAATTTGGAAAATGATTTTTATCAACAATAACCAATATGAAAATGCAATGTTTCATTTGCATTGAATGAGGTTTATCATTTTTATTTTGGATTTGAGTGTCAAATATTGGGGATAGAATTATATACTCTAATTTGCGTTAATAGTTTAGAAATTTTGGTTATGGAACCAAATTCTGATTCGGTTTCATAATTTGTACTGGAACTAATAGAAGAAAAATGCATTCTTGGACTCAAAATATGCACCAAACATGAACTAAATATTTTTTGAAAACGTAAAATAGAGATCTAAAAATACTAAAATAGAGAGTTTGTTGGAATGTGTCAAAAAATTTACTTCTTAAATTTAAAGATGCCTTAAATTTCATCAATTTAATCCACATATATTATTAATCTCGACCTACAGATAGTCATACATCGATAAAAACTAAAAAAATAAAATAGAAACACAAAACAAATACATGTTTGAGGTTAAATTTTATTGTAAAACATCAGGCCATATGGTAGAAAGACCCTAAATTCGCGGAATATAATAGTGACTTTGTCACGTACATCGATCCAAAAATATATTAATTTTATAAACTAAGAAGCAATTGCACTTCATGAATGTTGGCATCCGACTTCCGAGGTCGGTAAGTGCTATTTGGTGTATGCAAAAGCCTGATCTAATGTGAGTTCGTTTTATGAGGTCAGCTCGAATTATGTAGTCTATCGAGGTCGAAGGGAACATAGTGATGGAAGATTTCTTACACATTGTACTAACAGTTAATTAGTAAGTGGCATATGGACGGTCTTCCAAATTCCAATTTATAATATCTCATTTCAAATTCCAATTCCAAGTAACCGTTCATGAATTGAAAAGAAAGATTCTTTTTATTATTTTATTATGTTCTTATTAATAAAATATATGATTTAAAATATTTTTCTTTCTATCAAAATAATTCGAATATAAATATTTCAAAATTATTTCTTCTTAAGCCCAATTTATGTTATTTCATACGATCTACAAAATGAGTATAATACTAATATATATTTAGGCCATGTCTGCCCCAACTTTTGAGCTGACTTTTAATCCATTGTTTGACCATTAAGCAGCCATGATAGACCATTCCTCTCACAGGCGGGGCCCAAGTACAGGAAAGAAACGGTTAAATCTGAAAAGCTGGGGCAAACAGGGCCTTAAGTGAGTTAAACTTATCACGTTAACCTTTGAATTTACACGTGTTAACTTATGAAATAATAATAATAATAATAATAATAATAATAATAAAAATTTTGTCAATGATACCAACGTCTTGTTCACAGCCACCAGCAATAAAGCACCAATACAACAATATTGACTTATTGAGACATTGTCTAAGGTGGTCCGTCGTCGTCCACTATATTGACTATGAATAAATTATAAATGTTACAAAAAAAAAAACAAAAAAAAGGCCTTCAAGGCACATCTTCAAATGGTAAAAAACAAGGGAAGAAAAATTCCAACTTTACTTGAGACTGCCGCATCAAGGATTCAAATTCTGAAATATAGATTTGGCCATTGGGTAAATACAAGTATACAAGCAGCCTTCCATCCTATACCCTTGGAGGCATAACCTACGATTTACATCCTTCACCAAGATCCACGACAGAATAGGTGGGGACCGTCAAGGATGCTGCTCATCCTTTAATAGATGTACAAATTGTAAAAACATTGAGGGTCAATTGTAAATACATAGTCCAGTCACGAGCTGACAAGTAGTGGTGAACCTAATTCCCTAAAGTATTCAAAAAATACAAGCGTAGGAATAGAATATAACTGTAAGAAGAATAATGTAATAAAAAACTGTATTAATTTCTCTGTCATCGTAGGCACATCCGCACATGCGCACGCCAGGCAACCATAATATAATAAATAATTGAGAAGTCGATGACATCACTACCTGGGGAATGTCCTTTTCATTATAAAAAAAAATTCGAGACAAAATTGACAATT